GCCACTGCTGATCTTTCATTCTGAAAATGCTGGGTCCTGGTTGTAATGCTGATCCAAAACTTCAGCACGTTTCCTTTGTCACTAACCTGTAATAATTTAGATTCCCAATACGAAATGTATTTTCACAACTAAGTTGTTTTACATGGCAAGAAAAAATGGCTTGTTATAGCAAATGAAAAGAAAAACAACACAGCATGGGAGCAGTATTGATTCTGAAATGAAATGGAACATTTTCATGTACTAGTTCTTAATAAATTGCAGCTGGAACTATAACATAGGAAATAGTTACAGCTGTCCTGGTGTTTTAAGTTGCTACAAAAGTTTTATAAAACAGTATGCGATTTAGCACTAGCAGAACTGGATCAATACAAATACAAATGAATTAGGTAATCTTGTATTTCCTTTTTAAATTAGCAATATTTACATCATATTTTACCAATGTAATGGGTGTTTTTAGGCATTTTTTCGGTTAGTTAATTTTATGATCAGATTTAAAATTTATAGATCTCCTTAAAGATTCAAATACAAAGTAGAAAACATTAGCATTCATTATAGGGGAAAAGATATGTAAATTGAATATGTAAATTGCACTACTGTAATTTGTAAACCTATATGTATATTGAAAACATAGGGGTCTATTCACAAAGATGCAGAAGAATCTGGCCGTAGCTTCGGCCGATCCTTCGGCTAGCTTCGGCCCCAGGACCCCTTCGGTTCAGGAGAACCGAGGGGGTGCTGTACGGGCTATTCACAATAGCCCGTGCAGCTCCCGATCACGGCCGAGCGGCTCAGTCGAGCCGATCGCATATGCCACCGATGTACGGCTGAAATCAGCCATACCAGCCTGAAGTGAATAGCCGAACAGTGTTTGGCTCACTTCACTTCTGATCGGTCATTCACTCGGCTGCCCTCGGCAGCTTTGTGAATGGACCCCATAGTCAGGGAGCAGTCCAGATTTCAAGAAGATCTCTTGATTTACACAAAAGGGAACATACATTTGCATGATCCTGCTGTAAAGACGTGCATGTAATTGTAGTAAAAATCTGCTTGCCTACATTTGCCTAAGTCTTCAATGTGCATAACCAAGAAACAAGATATGATTTATGGTTTCGATGAATGAAGGGAGTTATATGAATTCTATAATCTATACAAGATGTGATTTTTTTGTTTTGGTCCTGCAGATTGCATAACTAAATGTTCAGCAATTGGCTGAAGTGGAAATTAACAACTTTAGTGGACAAAAGGGCTGCCAAACTTGCATATGACAGAGAGCTGCCTGTGTGACATGTATAGAAGTAGATAAAGCCATACATAATTGGTGTATGTTGGAATTGTTCTCCATTTTAGGGCATGTTAGAGCCACATGGACCCCAATAAACAGTGTTCACCCAGACTTGTTTGTTGTTTATCTAAAGCTTTATCTAAAGCTGCAGTAGGAGCTTGTGAAGAAGATGGTTCAGATATAAATGCTGCTTCCTGAAGTTCTTCCTTGAATGTTAATTTTGTATATCCTCCATTGACTATTAAATTCCGATGAGGTCCTGGGTACTAAATTGAACCACTTCCCATTAGTATCATAGATACCCATTATTAAAACAAAAATGTAGGGTATAATTAACATGTTTTTTGGACCAGGCATGCTAAGTCCATTAAACCTTGAAGGAACCCATACTTATATGAAATAAATGAAAACATGATACCCCTGTAGTCATATACCTGCCAAATGTTTGTGAAAGATCTGGAAAATCTGCCCTTAAGATGGTCTCATACATAATTTGCTAACCAAGGCCAAAACATTGTGGATAGAGTAGGGAATAGTCTTTCTGTTTTTTTCATTTTTTACAAACTCTGACCCATTGACAAATAAGGATAAATCTCTCCAGCAGGGGCATTTACAGAAATAAAAACCTGACATTGATTCTAACCCTGACCAGCTCTATCCAACAAGAAACAAATTTTCCTTTCAATACATTTTAGGATTTTCTTTGTCAGATCAATACATTTACTAATAACTAATTAGGGCCTACCTAAACTATTAGTTTGTATTATACAGTATCCAGTTAGGGAGACCCTCACTCTACAAAGTTAGTAAATTAAAAAGATCTGATGGTCAGATCTAAAAATAAAACCAAAGGTGTTTTCAAGATCAGCACTGTAGCTGCCTATATGGACAGAGGTATGCAATCACAAAGCTGCATCACAGGTTTTATGCTGTACTACAGGCAACTATGACCAAGCATTAAGGAGGACCACAATGTAACCCCCTGTCCTGCATTTGCAGATTCATAAGTTTTATTGTGACATTTACATTATACTTTACTTTAAGGGGCCCTGCTCCCTTTCTAAGGCTTTGAGCTCACAATAAAAATTATACTACAAACACAGACAGAAGTAAAAATGGTAAGTAGGGAAAAGCTACAACCCTTGTCCACTTTTTGTTGTTGTTGTTGTTTTTCCCTGTGGCAGAATTTTACTCACTTCCGGTCTGGTAAAATGTTGTCCTCAGAAAAAGAAATGTGGGAAAATCTCTCTAATTGAGTCCTAGAAAGAAGTAAAACCGGACCGGGATTCTAATCCTTTCCCACTCTATCGAAAACTGAAAAAAAAGTTTGGGCTATAGATACACTTGTTTGTGGATTTACATTTACCTATGTGAACTCTCATAGCAAACTGCTATTTTTGCTGGTATGGTGATTGCTGTTGCTTGATTGTCCTCTTAATTTTCAAGATTCTGCTGTTTCACATATGAGTTACAGACATAGTACAAACATGTTTTTCGAATAGGATATAATTGGTTTTGGGTGCGAACATAAAACAGCTGTAAAGTGTTAAGTTATCATTTGGGGAATAATGTAAAATGTTCCGTACCTGGACTGGTTCCATAAGAAAGTAAAACTGGATCAAATTAAGCCTCCGAATGTTCTTTTCTAGCAGGCACAGATTAAAAAGGTTTGTTCCATATTTTTTTCCCCTTACACACTCAAACAAATTGGGCTCATTCTCACTTTTTACAAATCATTCTGCATTTTCACTAGACATGTGCGATTCGTTTCGTTACGAATCGAAATTCGTACGAATTTTCCTGAAATTCCGAATTTCGGAGCATCCGAATGGCAGTTTCCGAATTATATCCGAAATACGAAATTCCGTTAACGAATTTCGGATCCGAATTTCTTTGAAACAGGAACTAATATTACCCCTGTAAATGAGGTTGAACAGCATGACAAGATTTTTTTTTAATCCGAGATACGGATCCGCTGCTGCTGATGCATTACAATACACAGTTACACACACAGGCAGGAAATACGAAATTCCGTTGACGTATTTTCGTTCCGTTACGAACATTCGTTATATTGAAGGTAAAAAGCAAAGTACATTTATATTGGAGTTGATGGTAGTTTTTTTTAAAGTCCGAAATACGGAATTCGGAATACGGAATCCGTTAACGGAATTCGTATTTCGGATAAAAAAACAACTACCACTCCAATATTAACAAAGGTATTTTGCTTTTTAACTTCATCATAACGAATGTTCGTAAAGTTACGAAAATATAACCGCCACTAACGAAAATTCGTATTTCGTACGAATCCGAATTGAGTTCAGTTACGAATTACGAAATACGAAATAACGGATATTCCGAAACGAAACGAAACAGAACGAATTTTTTGACGGCGCACAAGTCTAATTTTCACCATATTGCTTCTCTTGAGGCTACAAAAGATATTTAACACATCAAGATGAAATTAAAAGATGAAAAATGCATTATGTGAACATTAGTAAGAAAATATAGTAACTAGAATTATTACCAAACATTTACATCACTCACATCATCACATGTGAATTTTTATTTGCACTTGAACATATACATTACCAAAACTATTTGAGCTGTACCATTTATTGTGTAAATAAAAGGGCACCAAACCAAAAGGTGTAAGAGTCCAAAAGTGCCTTTACCTGTTCACAATTTCATTAAAAAAAAACAAAAACCCATCACATTTCAATGCAGCTGCTGACAATTACAATTCCAGCCCCAAAGGATATCTTTTTAGCAAATCATATATAGATCCATTTGGTTATAGTATCATTTAATATCATATGCCTTTCTAAGAAGGAGTTTTGTTGCCCCTTAATTACACTGGCTGTTTTTTGTTTGCTCGAATTATGAACAATTTAAGACACTTTTGTACTCTTTCACTTTTTGGGTTCAGCACTCATTATTTCTGAACATGGAGTCACTTCTGGTTACCCAACAAAGGAGGCCTGTTTTGTTTGGGAGCTGCCCTGTCAGTGCCAGTGAGCTTATTGCAACTGTTTCTGCATCTGGACAATTTGAGTGAGCACAGAAATCCCACTGCTTCTTAACTGTGCTCCTAATGAGATATTTTCTAGTGCAGCTTAGAAAAAAAAAAAATTGCCTACCCCATGTGCTATGAAATCAGTCTTGTTGCTATATTAAACTCCCCAAGGCAAGGCATTCCCGCAGCTTGCACCACCAAGCACCAAGCTCCCATCAGTAACAAGTAATATGGGCCCGTGAACTTTAGGGAATGGTGGAACTAAACAGTTCTTGGTTTTCAAAAAAACCTACCAATAATGAATATAAAGTACCATAAAGGACTGAAAAAGTGCTGATGTGCAAACAATCAAAAGGAAAGCTACATTCCTCAAACTTTAAAGTGAGCACAGCCTGGGCTTAGTTGCTGGACGGTCTTTCAGCGGTTCCCTGTCATCCTGTTTGTTTTAGCTAAATTTGAGACATAGAGGGGGAAATGATAGTGCCCCGTGTGAGGATCGAACTCACGACCTTCAGATTATGAGACTGACGCGCTACCTACTACGCTAATTTTTTCATATTTATCTCAAACCTTTAGCGCTGTGACAACACTTTACACTTTCACTTTACACCTCTCATAGCAGCTTTAGGATCATTATTTGACTTTTAGTTTACTTTCCAAAAGTGCAGATTTTTTGTTGCAATCAGTTCTTGGTTTTCATTTCAGGGTAAAAGGCAAAGATGAGATAAAAAAGAACAAGCAGAGAAGAAAGGAAGGAGATGTCCAGAGGAAACAAAGGCAGAAAAAACAAGAAAAACCTCTGCGAGGAGAAGGAAAGCAACGAGAAGTCAAAGCCTAGGAAATGGAAAGTGTAAACGATACAGCCATAACCTTCTTGTGCTCTTATTGGACATGTAAGGCCACATGCCTCTATGACTGACTTCTGATGCTGTTACATCCCTGGCTGACTAAACCTCTACATGGAGTGGATAATACTTTCATATAACTAAGGCCTTAGCAACATTCCAAGCCACTCTCTTGAATTACTGAAAAAGAAAGAGAATCACAAGAGACAGCTTACAGAAAAGAATTATGAAATGTGCTCCGTGGATGCTTTATATTTTTATGCTTCTATGCATATGTAAAAGACAATTAAGACTCTCTTCCTTGTAATTATTAATAGCAACATCTTAGCCTATTTTGTAAAGTATTTTTTCAAGCTGTTTTTTGTTTTTTTGTTGAGAATTATAGTCACGTTATATATGGAAATCTACAGCACGGTTGTTCTGTAACACATTTCTGTGGTTGAATCACATAAAAAAGCATCTACCAACGGTACACATTACTGAGGAAATGATCATACCATATCCAGCTAAATAATGGTTACCTCACTCCATGCCAGCTGTAGGAATGGAACATTTCCAGGATGTGTTTTGTCTTTGGTTTCTTAACAGTTACAGTAGTGTGAACTGAGTTTCATTTGGGTTGACGCTGCCTCATAAGTCATAATGAGCAATATTTAAGTTTAGTCAGTGCTGGAGGATAACATTTATATGTTGTATAGAAACAAAATGCAGTACTAATCTCAAAGCAAAGCTGCTCTATGGTTAGACATATTTTAATTTATTAGCACTCACATATTTGATTGATGAAATTTTCCTATGTCTGGTGTAGTTTTAGCCTTTGCAAAGAAAAAAACAGTGATGAAATTGATGAGAATGATGTTTTAGGATATCCCTCTAAACATTAGATGGCTAACAAGGATATGTTAACAAGGAGAGACAGCCGTGATCCTTTGTCTAAGATTCATATTGGATGTGGCTCAGCACCAGCCACAGTACTGAATTCTTTACATCCATATGATTTAACCACACCTGTGAAAAAATATGGACAGAATGTGAAAAACATTAAAGTGTTGCTTTGGGTGCTTCTCCAAAATGTGTCCAAGGTGTCAGTCTGCAAAACTGAGTATTACATACATACTACAGGTTGTCATAGTCCCATAGAAAGGTTTGCCTAGATGGTGTGCTTCAGAAAAAATCAGGATGTGTACCACATAAAGTTAGATGGCAAATACAAAAATTCAAAAATAGCACTGGGCCTTGCCTACCATCCTTTTTTTTTCTGGTGAAAAAAAATAAATATAATATGCTCTTGCATTGTAAAGGAGCAGTTTGCAGTCATAAAAGCTTGTAGTGGTTGTTTCTGTGCAACCTTGGAAGAAGTTCTTGGAGGGAATATTATCGAGCTTTGCTAGAAATGCTGTTTAACGTATTGAACATCAGAATGGTTTCCAGACGGACGTAGTGTCCCAGACATAATTGCTTTTTGTGCAGGGCAGCATGTTCTATCCCTCTGCTTTCATTTTACTGCTATATCTATCATGCATCTGTCTGCATGTTAAAAAAAATCTAGAGACCAAAACCTTTAATCCTTTGCTGCTGGGAGGGTCTGCAAAGCATTGATCTGCCAGTCACAGCAGATCTTACCAGCTACATAGGAGTTTGGCTGTAAAGGTCAGAAGAGCTAAGTAATACAGAAAAAAAGCAATATGTCATGGAAACATTGTGTATTTTCCAGTATTGTTATCTCATGGAAAATAAATATTATTTTATAATCTGCTTATTGATCAGCATGGAGAAAGGGGTACAACTTCAATAATGTTGTGTGTATCTATTGAGCGAAATTCCACTACAATAAATATTTTTCATGACATTGTTGACTTTTTAGTTGGCTACACATTTGCTTAATTGGATTAGTGTGTCATATGCTGCTAAATTGCAAAACTGTCGTAGGATGTTTATGGAAGGATGAATTACATGGTATCCAGAACACCAGGACTTATGTCATATTTCAATAAAACATAGAGGCAGATAATCCCATTATGTTTTAAGACCCCGTTCACACCGGGACGGTTCAGCCACGTGGATTCGGCCGCACGGATCCGCCGGCATGAATGATGCCATACATTGCTATGGAAACTTTTCATACAACTGCGCAGGTCCGAGTGATCCGAACCCCCCCGTGCCCAAACTGCTCCCTGCACTATTTTTGTTGCGCTGATCAGTCCGGTTCCCATACAGGTTTCAATGGAACTGCGCTGATTTTGGGCGTTTTTAATTGCATTTCGGCTTAAAAACTCCCAAAACCTCCCTTGCGAGATCAGCGCAGTGACCGTGCTGAACCGCAACCGACCTGGTGTGAATGGGCTTTTAAAGAAGAACTAGCTTTCGTTTCAATGGAAACCAGTGGGAGTAAAAACATTGATCAGTTTTTTTTAACGGTGGCAGAGAGGTGGAGGAAATGATTAGTGTAAAGGTGAGCACAAAACTGATTAATCAGATTTGGATGAAAAGTGTAAGAGCACATGCCATCTGCCTACTTACCTGCCCACTTCCAGGGCACTTACATTTAAGGAGATTCTGGTACTTAAAGAAGAACTGATTTTTATCCCTTGCAGCGGGGCTAACCCCACACTGCAAGGGTTAGGTGCTCGCTTTCGTCTATGGTCTAAAATAACAAAGTTACACTCAGCCGGACCTTGGAGCCGGCTGGCTGTTACAGCGCTCCCTCCAGCCTGTCTCCTCCTCCGCTGGATGGTATGTCCTGTGGCGTCACTCACATGACCTTAGACCACTGGATCGGAGGGGGAGAGAGGCCCCAGGTACTGGTCTAACAGCCAGTTGGCTGTGAGGTTAAGGTGAGTATAACTTTATTATGTTTACACCATAGACAAAAACGAGCACTTAACCCTTGTAGCGTGGGTGGTGCCCAGCTGCAAAGTTTAAAAATATTTTTTTCTTCAGTAAAAAAAGAATGCTTCTATCAGGCATATAATTCAGCCACCTAGATGTGCATGCACATTCCCGCAGAAGCTTACAATTTCACCACTGTAGTAATTACTGTGATATTTGACTTAAGAATTATTTTGAATGGGCAGTTCCCAGGACTAGCATTCTATACAAACATACAGCTAAATTGAGTATTAATACTATGATTGGTGTCAAGGACTGCTAGCTTAAGCATTTATTGATGGAGCTTTAGGTTAAGAAGCAATTTTATATTGTTATAAGTGTTATAATAAGTGGGCTTTAACTTTGGGATGCTTGGGATTATTTGTACTTTTTTTTGTCTTTTTCACTCCTTAATTACCAATGAGAAACTATGATTACCAATATAGAGAAAAACCCACTATGTTTTGATCCCATACTAGGAAATCAGGTTGATCCAAAAACTATGCCTTCTCATTTAAAAATACGTGTTGCAGTAAATTGTACTGTTCCCGATAGTTTGAGTCAGCATGTGACACTGCAGCTGTCACACACTGGCTCTAAAGCTCGAGAACCGAGTGATCACAAACCACTGATCACTCAGTTCATGGCTTCTCCCTACAGAGAGTGTTGACTGTCAGTCACTGCTCCCCAGAGGGATTCCCCCCTCCCCTCTCTCTGTTCCTCCACCCCTCATTGGAACTGTTCATACAACCGTGCAGGTCTGAGTGATCCGAACCGCCCCCCCTGCCCGAACTGCTTCCAGGCACAGCTCATGCTCTAGGGTGGTGCTCTAGAGAGGCAGAGCCAGATGTCAATCAGGCAGCGGGGTGGATCCCGAAAATATTGTTGGGATATTTCCCAGCTGTAGCACAGCTCTGCACCTAAGCCGCTTTGTGCTGGCTTAGGGTCACAGGAGTACCCTTATTAATAAATATACTCCTGTGACCCAAAAGAGAACTAAAGCCAAAAAAGGTTTGAACATAGTTCTCTTTTAATTATTTATTTGTGCATCTGCATTTTCACTGTTTCTCTGTTCCCATTTAGTCCCCCTGCACTGTCCCACAAATACCTGCTGAGCCTGCAAGTGAAGTCCATCTAATGTAGTTTCTTGTGATGGTGTGGTAATAATGCTGCACTGCTCCTGAATTCCGAGCAGAGTTGCCACATTCATGTAGGCTGTGTCTGCCTGCACTATAGCGGGATGAAAAAATGTTTCAGGGGGCAGATCAGAATTGCCCCTGCTATTTCACAAGCATATAGATTATCAATCAGCACTTGACCACACTTAACCATGCCCATTGCTTTATCGATTGACAGCATTTCCTCTATTGGTGAAACCCTCCTATTGTGAGATGCAGTGTATGAACGCATGTGAGGGGAAATGAAGGAGGATTTGGCTCAGTCAGGGAAGGGATGGAAGTTTACTTTATGAGGCTTGTGCATCACAGTAACCGGATTTGGTACTTGTTTAGACTGTCCTAGAAAGCCTTTAGTTGTACTTTAAGATCTTAAAACGTCTTGAAAACATACTGCATTGGTTCTTCCATGTCTAACAGCATGAAGACAAGTGTTCTGCCAAAACAAGTGGAACCTCTTGGCAATAGGGAACTCAATCAAAGCACGCCATAGCTGGTTAATTACCCCTTCTGTTTTGCAACCCAACATTCTTTTTATTAGGCATAATACTGACAGTCAGCTGAAGAATTGCAAACTATAAACTAGTTACTTAATTTCTAGCCAATGCTTAATTGCTTAAATAAAAACAGATTTAAATGAGAGAAATATATACATATGTTAAATATGTAAAAGCTGCTGAGCGAAATAACATGTTGGGAGTTTCCATCCAACGGCAGCTGAGGAGCCAAAGGTTAGTACATAAAGTTCATATGGTAATAAGGATGTAACAGAACATAAGGATTCCTCGTGTTCCCCATTACTGAACTCGTTACAATGAAAAACATTGTTTTGAAGAACATTTCTAGCACCATGAAGTTTTGTTGCAGTCATCAACACATATCCTTTCTTGAAGATGACAGAGTAAATGCTTCCACATGAGCCAGTTTTTGCTTCTATGATAAATGACTGTGCAACCTACAAGGATACACTAAATATAATATACCATAATCAGCAGAGCTTTGATGCCATTGTTTGAAACGCTAAACTGTCCACAACTACAGTGACAAGCATCAACTGACAAGGCAACTTCTAAGCCTAATCAAAGTAAGTTGAGATAAGTAGAACAAAATAAACTGTTGTGATATGTTTTACTTGCCTATTCTTTGGTTTTTCATTATTAAAATATCAACGACCCAACACTGAAATTAGTATAGACTGATGGATTAATGGGGGTTTCCTTTTAGTCTGGAAAAAAAAGAATTTAACTATATTTAAGTAGACCTAGGTTTGTGGACCCTGCTGCCATTAGATAGAGCATGTTAATGTACTGTATATACGTAGGTGACAGGGACAGAGTATTGTCACGGCATTAAAAAACCTATCTGCACAAAGACCTTCAATGCTGCATTATTAGGCATTATTGGAATTAAATCTGCTAATTTAAAATGATGGAAAATCGCTTTGAAAAATACATAAACATTTTAAAATTAAAATAAGGTTTTAGTGACTGGATTTACATATACTTTCAATGAAAACGTAACTTTAAAAAAAACAAATTATATAATATATAAAATTGCTCATTCTCAGTATTTAAAGAGCAGAAACAGGTAAGAAGCTGCAAATAAATACTTGAAATGTATATGAATGACATGAAGAGAATGTATTTTAATAAAAAAAACAGAGTTTTACTTATGGAGACAGCATCAATATGTGAAACAATATAGGCACAACCCATGGTGTAAAAATAAAAAAGGAGCAGCTTTGCGCAATTTTCAGTATAACCTGCGACAACAGATGAAAGTGTAGGTGGCTTCTTTAGCCTTTCAGTCCCATTGCTTTCCCCCTGCTTTGAGATTACATAGCAAATTGTTTA